TTAATAAAGTTAAAAAGTGCCATTTAATGGAAAAATGTCCTTATTTGACCCAATGTTGGTTTACGACAACTCAGCATTTTTTAAAGGGTTTGAATATTTATTTATTTATTTAACATGCATTAAAACAAAATAAATACATTTTTTCAACATGGATAAATTAAGAACAGACCCAACTCTGGGGTTAAATTTGGGCTACAGATTGAATTCAGCAAATTAACCCAGCAGCTGGGCTTTTTTCACATGCACAGTTCACAAAGGGAACTTTCAGGCACATTAAACTGATCAAAGCATTCAAATAAATCGAGTCTCGCAGCTTCACCTGTAGGACAGTCAACTTACACACACACACACACTAAAGAAATACTGTGTGCATAAAGTAGCTCCACATCTCTGACTCAAACACTGGAGTTTCGCAACAAAACGGCGGATCAGCATTTTGGTCACTCGCACACATACACAGTGACAGACATAATCACACTCACACATACACACACACACACACACACACACTCCTGACAGACAGACCTGAACGACATCTCACATCTCGCTTTCTGTCTGTCACGCGCACACACATATATTTACACACACACACACCACGTGAAATGCAGAGATCAGGGCAGATTCACTCACCTGAAGCGCGGAGTAAAAGTCCCGGAGACGCGGAGAGAAGAACTGGCGAGCGGCAGAGGGTTCCGCACGGTGGAGTGAGTGAGTGTGTGTGTGTGTGTGTGAGAGAGAGAGAGAGAGAGAGAGAGAGAGAGAGAGAGAGAGAGAGAGAGAGAGAGAGAGAGAGAGAGAGAGAGAGAGAAAGAAAGAGAGAGAGAGAGTCCAGAATTGACAGAGCGCGCGATCGCACTGCTCAAGCGCGCGCGTGCCTGTGTGCGTCTCTGACTGTGTGTGTGTGTGTGTATGTTTGAGTTTTATGTTCAGTTCGGGTGGGGTCTTTCTCATTAAATATGCTCTTATTATGCAAATGAGCTTGGCGCTTGCACGTATCATG